AAAAAAACAACTTCATTAATTAATAATATGTTTTACAATCGAATTTCTTTATTCTGATGGAATCATCAATTTTCCACTATTCTGCAATCTTTTTTAAAATTTGCGGCGCCATATACGTACTTCCGGTCAAACTATTTTTGGTAAGATCGGTCATCTTTAGTAACACGTAATATACGGCGAAACATCTTGGTGATCACAACCTCACAACCACATTTTTTTCGTGGAAGATACCGTCGAGTGTACACGTCGAAACGAAATCTGAAATAATCGAGCGATTCTAGAGCGATCTAAAAGCCTTCAAGTCGTAAGATGAGAGCTAAGGTAAGCCGATTTTCGTAGTCGTCAATCATTATTATATTTTTCGCGTATATACAATTATTTTTATCGTTAAAAATACACAAGCGTCGAAGTATGGCAATACTCGGTTTGCGCATTTTTTTATCTTTGTATATATCAACACGACGCTAATAAGTGCGAAAAAAATGTTCTTCTTGCATTAATAAATTTATTGAAATTTATTGTGATTTTTATCGAATTTCTTTATAATTTCGCGTTTCATGAAATCATCCTAACCTCCAGCTAATAGCGTGTTTAATTTAGCGAGAAAAATATAACGTAACATATTTAATGACAATCGAGAACGGAAATGACATGATTAATGCATTAAATTTAATTATTATCAATTTTATATATTATTATATTTAATATTATTATTTAATATTTTATTTATTATCAATGTTATATATTATTATATTTAATATTATTATTTAATATTTTATTTTAATTTCAAGTTAATATAAAGCAAATATTACACAGATGAAAAAATTCTTAATTAGTATTTTCTACAATCGAAATTTTTTTCTATTTCGATGGAATCATCGATAAATTTGTTAAGTAATTATATTGATTACCCAAGTCTTAAGTAAAGACAAAAAAAAACTTACTTGATTAATGGCACATTAAATATTCTTATTATAACAAATAATAAATAAATGTTCAATCTTGCAGTGGCGTAAGAAGAGAATGCGCAGGCTAAAGCGTAAGAGGAGGAAGATGCGTGCGAGGTCCAAGTAAACAACTGCATATATACCTACATACACGTGGTCTCTGTAAGTGTAAACTTCATTCTACATTATAAAAGAAACAATTTATATCTATTAAATTTATTCGTTGATTTTCCTCCATTCTTATTTGCAAATGAATTATTTCAGCCTTAGCAAGATCAGACCTGCGATACTTTCCATCAAGAATTCCAGTTGCATCTTCAGTTGAAAATTTCAAAGAAGATACACTTCAGCGGATGCGTGTTTCGCACAGAGAACCATTTTATACATGTAAATCTTCTTTGGTAAAATGCAGTGATTAATCAAGGTGAAGCACAGTTTTCTATGAGATTTGTCCTTCCCCTCCTGTCTTCCTACAATTGTAATTTCTTTAATTTTAAACAAAGTTAGATGTAAATTACAAATTTATTGAATACAAGTATAATTCAGATTTGTGCATTTAACAATTTTTTTTTTACCAATGCATTGAAAATTATCTAATGCGAACAAATCTCGTTTATAAACAGATTAATGTATATATGAAAATTGGAAAGAATTTTATACAGAAGAAGTAATATCAGAAAGTTTTCTATAATCTTTATTCATATTTACTTTTCTTATAAAAATTATTGAAAGAATATACCAAAAAAATTAACAATTATTTATATATTAGTATTTTTATACATATAGATTTTATTTTTAATTATGTACACAATTATATAATTAAATAATATTTAATAGTCGAGAGTAATTAAAATTAAACAAATATTTTAATTATGATGTAATTATATTTTTTATATCAATTATAATAATATAAATATTATTTATATAGATTTTATTTTTAATTATATATATATATATATATACAATTATATAATTAAATATAAATATTTAATAATAAAGTAATGAAAATTAAACAAATATTTTAATTATGATATAATTATATTTTTTATATTATGATAAAATTATATGAATATAAACATTATTTTTATAAATATTATTTTATCAATATTTATAAACTTAAATATAACTTTTATCGCGATGTAAAAAATTGTATTTTCTATCTTCCAAAATGATTTCTCGTCGTCTGCCGACCTAACCTCACTTTTATTTGAGGTTAGGATTCCTCCGAGATGCGCACGTGTGTCCTGAGGAATTTACTCGGGCGAGTATCGCGCGAATCCATCCGTACTAGAGTACAGACGTACTCGCAATTTCGAGAGACGAGACGATTTTCGAATAAACCGGGGAATCCCGGTGAGGACGATGCGTCAAAAAACGCAGACGATAATCTTGCGACCGCCATCGGCTCGAAATACAAGACCTTCCACGACGAAGACGCGGATGTTATTCTCGACGTGAGTGAGGAGCTGCAGAAGATCAGCCTCGAGGACATAAATCAGCAACAGGAAGATCATGATCCTTACGCCGGTATTAATTTGAGCCGTAAGTGCAAATTTAAAAAAATATATATATATATATATATATATATATATGACATTTTTTAAAATAATAATTATTTTAAAACCTTTTTTTATATAAAATTTTTTATGAATTTTTGTATAAAATTTTTATATAAAAAGGATTTTTTGAATAATTTTATATTTATAATTGTTATTTATATTGTAAATTGTAAAACATTGAAAATACAATAGTATTTTGATGTAACAATACAATAATATGTTATAATATAAGGTAACGAACATAGTAATTAACAAGATTTGTCTTTTAGACGGTACTACCGGTGTATATGATATCGAGGAACTTGTTACATTGCTGGAGAGGGACAAGGCGAAGAATATATTTGTTGCGTCAGTGCCAAAGGAATATGCTTATGTGGATTATATTGTTGTGGTGACTGGAAGATCGCAAAAGCATATGAGTGCCCTCGCCACCTTTGTGCGCAAAGTTTATAAACTGAAGAGACATCCGACTGATTTAATACCCAAAATTGAAGGGGAGAATTCAAAAGATTGGCTAGCACTAGATTTAGGTAGATCAGTTTCTTTCTAAACTGAGAAAAAATATATTGGCATGTATTTATCTCTTTTGTACAAATCTAATTTAAACAATTTTCTGGATTTATTCTAAGTCGAAAAATATACCTCTGGAGAAAATGAATTTATACATTCATACATATTTATATAATTTATTTTTTATATATATTATAATTAATTTATATTATTTATATTATTTACATAATTATATGAAAAATAATCTCGAAAAGAGAATTTGTAGTCAATAATGTTCAGAAAATGAATGTATAAGTAAACATATAGTAAGCTTTTAAATTAGTTGTTCTTTGAGTTGTTAATTATTCGAATGAATTTATATGTCATTATATGTTGTAGGAAACATCGTTTTGCATATATTTTCTCACTCTGCGAGAGAGCATTATGATTTGGAGACTTTGTGGACAGTTGGTACGCGATACGACGATAAGAGTAACGAATTACAGGAGTTAAATATTATGGATAAATATAATGCCTTCTTGGCTGAATTTCAACCGGCTGACAATGCTTGATGAGTCATCCATGTATGATGTAGAGTAAATAAAAAAGTGATAAAATTAATAAGCAAGGTTTGGAGCCACAATCTGCTTTAATACTTTAATTGATAATTAAGTAATTCTGACACTAAGTAAAATGCTGTACAAAGGAAGGAATCGCGAATATTAATTTTCATTAAAGATAATTAATATGAATAAGAGATCAATAAAATTATTAAGAATTATTGAGATAATTATTAAAATTATAAAATTAAGAAAATTATTAAGATAAAATGATTGAAAGCGATGATTTTCGAAATAAGTAATATAAATTTGTAAATAATGCATATTTATTTGATTAATTGGGCAAAATTTGAGTATGTTTAAAACAACTGTTAAACACAAATGCTGACACAAATATATATATATATATATATATATATATATATATTTATGTGTGTGTCAGCATTTGTGTTTAACGACCTCAGAAGTTTTGTTGACATCATATTTATCACGATGACACGTATAAGAGACTCGGTCAGTCTTTCGAACCATATCGTGGTAGATATAATGATTGTAATAAAATGTGTGTGAATATATTATATTCTTTCAACATCTTGTGTGCTGCTAGAGTATTAATTTGTAATAATTAATTAAAAAAAATATATTGGGTCTGGGAAAAAGTTCGTGGCGTTTTTTTAGGAAAATTTAACTGATTTTTTTGTAGTGTGAAAATGAATTTATTTAAACCAAATATGTTCCATTATTATCGACAATGTTTCGCCATTTTTCGGGTAGAGCCATGATGCTATCGGTGAAGAACTTCTGTGATTTCTGGTTGAAAAACTGAATCAAGTTGTTTTCACAGGCTTCTTTTGAAAGCAACTTAATTCCATTGAGAAAGTTCTGCAGAGATCGGAATAAGTGATAGTCAGAGGGTGCTATGTCTGGACTATACGGTGGATGCATCAAAACTTCCCAACCAAGCTCTCGCAATTTTTGACGGGTCATCAAAGAAGTGTGTGGTCGGGCGTTGTCATGATGGAAGACAACATCTTTCCTATTAATCAATTCGGGCCTTTTTCTTTCAATTGCCTGGCGTAATCTTTCTAGTTGTTCACAGTAGAGTTGAGAATCAATCTCGGCGTCAATCTTGGCTTCGTGAACGCTTGTGACGGCTCACCATCCCTTATCCACGATCTTTGACGCTTCCGATTGTCGTACGTGATCCATTTTTCATCACCGGTTATGACACGTTTCAGAAATGGCTCGATTTCATTGCGTTTCAGCAGCGCATCGCAGATGTTAATTCGGTCTATCATGTTTTTTGCGCTCAACTCATGAGGAACCCATACATCGAGCTTCTTTTTGTAGCCAGCTTTGTGTAAATGGTTCAAAACAGTTTTGTGGTCAATGCCTAGCCCCATACCATACCTATTACGTTTTGATGATGATGCTCGAAACATTCAAATGTGGTGTAGAAACGAATCTGGATTTCACATAGAATTTGCAAAACATGTAGCTGAAAATATCACATTGTTGTTTAAAATAGAATGGAAACAACGTTCGAACAATATTCCGAAGGTGACTCATGTTACAAAAAACGAGTCTGAAAAGTATTGTGTTATTAGCATAAAATTTGGGCCAATGATAATTACGTACATTACAACAATATTTTTTGGACTCGTTTTTTACAAGTGAGTACAAGTGCTTAAAATTATATTAAAAATAAAATTATATTAGTATGCAAAATTATAAAATTTAAAATCATATGTATATCTTTTGTTTCTGTAAATGTTCAAAAGTAAAAAAATTGTGCAAACAATATTTTAAGTAGTAAGAATTAAGTTTATTCGTATAATTCAAAAAGTTGAAGTTTATCATTCATAAAGGGGAAAGCTTTATGCTAAATCGTATCTCCTAATAAGGTAAATGTTAAAATTGTAATAAAGCTATAAAAGAAATGACATTTTTTTATTAATTTAAAACTATAGTTCTTTATCCATGATATACATATTAACACAAAATCATTGTTTCATACTTAAATTAAAAAAATATTATTTGGTACAATTTATAATACTGATTTGCTAGATGATACCCACAAGTTTGTAATAGTTGATGAAATGTATAACATAGAAGATTTATTTAACAGTTATTACATAGAAAAGATAAATTTAATAAATATTATTATAGAAAGCGAATGAAAAAGAAATATTGTGTTCTATCTTATTAATTTCTGAATATTAATTTTATATTTGTTTTGTTATATAAAGAATTATATAAAGTAGTATTATATAAAGAATATATTGATTTTATTGTGCAAATCTTTGTTTTATATATATATATATATATATATATATATATATATATATATTAGGGTGGTCGTTATATAGGTTTTTTCAGAATTTTAATTTTTTCAGATTTTTATTTTGAGTCCTGAGTCTCCCTGTTGGCATGTAATTTTATTAATAATTTTATTAATACCACAGTTCTGCAGCTGCTTCTGTCATCAATTTTTGTTGTAAATAGTTTGAAATTTTAGTGAAAAAAAGTTGAAACTATTTGAAAATACCGAAAATATAGTATATAATATAGTATATAATTGAAAATAACGACGATTTAAAGTTCAAGGAAGATTCAAAAAATATAAAATACGTCGTTATATATTTGAAAAATGGATAAAAAATAATTAACTGAATTACAAACACCCACGACTCGTGCGGAATAGCCCATATAATATTTATGACTATCTTTTATGAAAAATTAAATAATTTTGTTCACTACTTTTGCAGCTGACTCCATCTAGAACTGAAGTAAATATATACACAAATATACATATATATATATATATATATATGTATATTAAATTAATGCTACATGAATTTAGTATTTATATGCAGATTTGTTAATATACAGTAGAGCTTATTAAATTCTATCTATATTGCTATATAAGCGCGAATTAAATTGGTTTTATAGGATAGAATATAAACACATACATTTATAAATAAAAAGAAATAATTTTATTATATAAGTATAAAGAAATGTTATATGCAGATATAATATATAATTAATACAATATATTTATAAAATAATGTAATATATAATTAACGCAATACAATAATAAAAATTATTTTTTTTTCCATATACAGGCGTTGGATTTATTTAAGCTGTTTTACATTAAAAATTGTAGGATTTTTCAAATGCTGAATTTGCAAGAAAATAACATATCTACAGCATTGTAATTTTAATTTAAAGATATTTTGTCTTGGCATAAATTAGAATTCCAGCATTCAGCAAAATTTGATACTTGCGTCAAATTTACAGTAAAATTCTGCGGCAAGTTTTTGAAGTAGCTAACATCTAAATATTCTAGTGGATTTAAACCCAGATGTACCTCCATCAATGACAATAATACCCTGCTTGTGAGAGATAAAGACTCTAAAGAAATAAACTTATTATCGTTCAAAATCAAATATTTTAAAGACATCAAAGACTCGCTCCATCCTTTCGGTAGAAAACTCAATTTGTTCTTCGAAAGATCTAATACTTCTAAAAACAAAAGTTGAGTAAACGCTTTAACATTAATCTCGACGATCTGATTCCCCGCCAAAAACAATTTTATCAATTTTGGCATTTGCGCAAAAGCATTCGCAGTTAAACTCTTAATATTGTTACAATTAAGAGACAAAGCGCTGATTTCACTTGAAATCTGCGGTACATCCTCGAACTTGTTGAAACTCAAATCGAGCCATCTCAAAGACTGCAAATTTTCAAATATATCTGGATGTAAGTAATTTATATTATTAATAGACAAGTTCAAATAAACCAATTTATCAGTGTACTTGAAAGCGTTTGATAAAATAAAATCAATTTTGTTTCCAGAAATAGAAAGATAATGCAGATTTTCTAAGCCATCCATTGCTAGGCCATAATCATACAGATCAAATTCACGTGATGAATGTTGATTAAATCCATAGAGTCGTTTATATTGATTATTCAGATTATACGAATCAAATGATTTATGAGTATTATTGTATTTTACATATTTCAAATTGTTGTTATTCAGGTATAATACTAACAAGTTTACTTGTTTCTTATCAAATGCCAATGAAGTGAGCGAGTTATTGTGGAGGTCAAGAAAGTACAAACTATTTGACAATAACTTTAGAAAGTTATTATTTCTTATATGGTTATTGGAAAGATCTAGAATCTTCAATTTTGGTAATGGAGTTTCTTTTATAGAAGTTTGCACGCTATATATATCATTTGCACAGAGAGATAAGATTTCTAAATTAGGATATTCTTTAGAAATATCAACTATAAATCGATGTGGATTATCATAATAATAATAGTAATTGGTCTTAGTTGCGTTGTTCAGAATAAGAACCCTCAACTTTTCATGACCCCCAAAGTTGAAGAGTTCATTCAATTTGATGTTGTTATTAGAAATAAACAGTTGACTTAAATTGGGAAGTTTGTCAAAGGCGCCATTCTGGATGCTCTGGATGTCAATATTCGTGAGGTTCAGACAAGTTATCAGAGGACTACTGATAAAATTCTGACCAATAGAAGTGATCACTGTGTTAGAAAAGTTTAAAGCAATATCATCCTCGCACTGATGTCCAAAGTCGCCATTTATATAATTGAGAATTTCCAAGAGTTGAATATTCTTGGCTGTTAATAGCGTGAACCAACAGACGAAAATAATGACCATAAAAGAAAACTTCATGTTGAATTCTCTGCAAAAATATAATAAAAATATTTTAAAAATATAGTAAAAAGTATGTGGTTTTAAATATAATATCTATTATTTTATTAAACAAAATTATATTAATATTAATTAATATCAATGATAAAAATTTGTATAATTATATAATTATGATAAAAATATAAGATTGTATAGATCGATAAATTGTACAGAAAAATTGATATATAAGTTATTTAAAAAGCATAATAACAATAAAATTTTTGATAATTATTATAATGTGGATTTCAATATCTAAATAATCTATATTTCTTATCTAAATTTAATTACCTATATATTATAATATAGAAAACTGTACAATAATAATTACAGCACAAAAGTACAAAAATATATTTTTTCTTAATATGAAATATTGTTGTGCCTCTTTTTATAACAGAACAGAGGATAGTACCTTTTTTAAAGAGTTTATTTGCCGGCTAAGATGGAACTTCAGCTTCAGGCTCCACTTAGACTCTTTCGCACTTTTCTTTAAATTTTTTACAGCTTTTATTTAATGTTTCACGTTAAAAATAACTAAGATTTTATATGCTGAGTACACTTATTTAACTTCACTCATGTTTCTTAGATTATTCTAATTTATTTCGACTTATTAGCAGCCTTTTCCTTTTATGTCTTGACGACTTTGATTAGCGACTGCTCGACGTGCATCTGTCACCGGAGCTTCCGCTATCTTTGAGTTATTGTTAAAAAGATGCCTGGATCATGAGAGTCCGCAGGGGAAGGGAGATTTGCCACTCCCTCTGGAGTCAGCAAAAAATTTATCATTTGCTTTCCCTTGAATAAATGCTAGAATTTACTTGCACATTTAATATAAAAAAAAATAAAAATAATAAAATAACAAAATTAAGTTTAAAAAAAATGTTGAAAGTCGCAAAGAAAATCTTTCTTGATATATCTACTTTGTCACACTGAGAAAGCTTTTACTAACAAAAGGTGTATAAATAAATAAATTATAAATATTCTAATTTTGCAAGTCACATTTTGAATAATATATATGTCCTCCTCTTCCCCGATTTCTGGAAAAAATCTTGCAGACGCTTATCTGAATTCAAGTCAACATACACTATCACAGTCGAAATGCAAGCGAAGGAGATCCAAGTTCTTTGCTTACAATCTATCGGGTTCTCGCGCTCACTGCATTAAAATTTTTGCGAAAGACTAATATCTTTTTATTTATATAAAAATTCAATTATAGATTTTCGGGCTACAACATTAAATATAAAAAAAGTTTTATTTATATTAAATTTTCTCAAAATAATATGAAAATTAAACGCATACCATTTTTATAAAATGCTTTTTTATTGTTAATATAATTGCGATTATATTATTACAAGTTTAATAATCATTAAATGTAATAATACATATATATAATATAAAATCAGATTTATTGAATAAAAAAGTTTTGTTAAACAGTATCTAAACAATATTACGTCACCCACATAATTTGTTTATATATCTGTGCATTTATATGCAAATTTTTTTTGCGTTATATCGCTTTTCACAGACTTTATAGACAGACTTTATAAATAGCTACTTAATTACAAATTGTTGATAGCTGAGAAAATGACTGACTTGTTTTTGTTTTTATTATTATTATGGATATTTGAATTTGATTGGGATAAGAATAAAGAAATGATAAGCACTTACTTTTAATTCAGTATATATTAATTATATTCATATAATAAAGTGTACATATTTTATTTGATGTATATATTTTATTGCTCTATTAATTAAAGAGAAACAAAAAAAAACAGATTTATTTTGTGTATACTTTGTTAAAAAAATTTGAAAAAAAATTAGAGATCAAGTTGCAGTAATATATTATAATTATCTCATTTCTATTTATTATATTTGCAACTTACGCAAATAAACATATACTTTTATATTGTTTACAAGATTTTTGATAATTTATAACTAAAATCCGGAAGAAAAAATGCTTAAATTTTGAAAACACTTTAATCTCTTTATCATTTAAAATTATAGTACAAAGTATTTGAAGATATAATTTAATATAATTTATATATATTATAATTTTATATTGTATTTTATTTTATATTTTTTTATATGTACATTAATACATATATAATATATATATATATGTGTGTATATATATTATAGTTAATAGACCCAAGGAGAACAGAAGATCAAAATGATGTCAATTTGATGTCATATTGACTAAATATTGACCAAAAATGACATAAATTTAGTCAATATGACGTCAAATTGACATCATTTTGACTTTTCAATTCTCCTTGAAATTTTCCGTAAAAATATATTTTGTTAAACATATTCATAAATATTATATTGTTTATGATAAAAAATTCCGCCTTTCAATTTTAACTTTTAGGGGCTGAGTAGGAGCCAGTAAAACTTCAAACTTTAATTTTATTTTATCGATCGGAATACTTTTATCGACTTTAAATACAAATGTTCGTATCAAAGTCGCTAGTATAACTTTCATGGAAATCATCGCAAACTTCACACCTAAAAGAATTTGTCACAATGTAAAATAAATTTTATAATTCACATATTAATGATATTAATTTATTAGTACCCACCTATGCAATTTCTAGGCCCGTTACTAAAAGGTATATAATAATCCGAGTAAGAGTTTCCCAATCTTTCGGGCAGGAATCTATCCGGATCGAACATTAATGGATTTGGCCAATGTTTTTCATTTCGGAGGACGTTTTGCAGTAATATGACTATAGTAGCATCTTTTGGCAACATAATCTCTCCTAAAACATAAATCTTGTTGTATAATTAGGCGTTATTAATGTAATAATGTATAATAGCAATGGAGTCCACATTATTCTACAAGACAAATCTATTTAGTCTTCAAAGTAATATTTCTTGTCAGAAACTGTAATAACATTTTTAAATCCTTTTAATCCATGTATTTTGTTATATTTTTGAAGCATTTTTTATTTTGGTGTTAAATATATTTTTTGTCTCTAAAATACTTGAGTATAATTTCTGTTAAATATTTAAAACGTTTATTTAAAATTGAAGCTAAGATGCGTTTTATACATTAAATAAAATTTATTAAATTTGAGTAAGCATTTATTTTAATACTATATAATAAATCATTTATTTGAAATTAGTAATATTGATTTGATGTGAAAAATATTTATTTGATAAGAAAATCTTTTTCAAAACAGATAAATATTTATTTGTTTCAAATCAATGATTTATTATAGGCAGTATTGAAATAAGCATTTATTAATTTAACTATTTTTTTCAGTCACCACCTCTATTCTTTTGATTAGCTTGTAATTTACGATTAGGAAAATTTGATAAAAAATATTGTTTCGTTATTAAATGCACCTAATATGTTTTCTCTGTTTTTATTTTTTTTAGTTTAATTATACTGATTTAATGAATAAGAAAATCGCGGATTTCAGTAAATAATGTATTGCAAATTATACACAATTTGTGTGTGTACGTGTGTGTGTATGTGTGTATTTGTGAACAAACCTAAACTTAAATCTTCGGTTAGTTGTCGTGCGATTAAAGGCACCGCAGGGAATAATCGCATCGTTTCCTTAATAACTCGATCCAAATAGTCCATAGACTGTAAATCTTCATATTTAATTGGTGCGACTTTCGGACTTTTCATGCCATAAATCCCCAACAATTCCTGATATGCCTTCTCCTTTTATGGAAATAAATGCTGATAAGTGTACGCAATATAATTAAGATCCAAAAATTAAGATATGTAATTACACATATATCCTATTTTTGTCGAGGTAAAGAAATATTTTAAGCATAATTTTTCGAAAAACGAATAAATGGAAAATTTTTTCCCAACATATTTCTCTGTGCAAAAAATGATTTTGGCCGTTATTACGAATTTATTTTAATAAAAACTAAAAAAGTTTCTTTACAACATTTTTTAAATTAAAATATTTAAATTTATAATTTATAATTATTATGTACTTTCTATCAATAGTGATATTAATATCGAAAAATTATATTATAATACTTTTATATATTTTAGTATAAAAATATAAATTTTATGTATATGTGCATGTAAATGTATATACATATGTAATAATTATATACACATATATGTGTACAGAGGAAGGCCCCGTTAGCCTACAAATCAATGGCAACATTTTATCTGAATAATTTGTGTCGAATTTTTTTATATATATATATATATATATATATATATATATATATATTATTGCTTAAAATAAATCTTCAGTATTTTAAAACTCTAATAATATATGAAGTATATTCGATTTATAAAGCGAGAGAATCTTTGAATGAGTTTATCGAATGTACATACTTGGATCTTCGGAAAATTCGCTAACATGAAGATCATAAAATCCATCGTTATGGTGGTTGTGTCACTGGCCTAAAAAAATACAATTTGTATTCATTTATGTATACACTCGTGAAAAAAATTATCGCAACACGCAATTAGCATCAAAATTTCGCGTAAATTTAAATAAGCGTATTTCCACGAAAAATTATCGTATTTGAAAAAATTGTTTTTGTTTTCAAGAGTAAAGTCTTTATTTTAGAAACTTTCGTTTGATTTTAATTTTGTTCTTTCTCCCTCTCTTCATCCCGTTAAAAAGTAGTTTTTTTTTTTTTTAAATTTGCAAAATTTGACGATTTCTATGGGGTGAAATAAATTTTTTTCGCAAATCTTATCCAAATTTTTGTAGAATATGTTCTTTTGCAATCAAATTTTGCAATTTTTTGAAAAAGAAACACCTTCCTTTTTAACGGAGTGAAGAGAGAGAAAGAGGATGAAATCAAAATCGAACGAAAGTTTCTTAGAGTAGAGTACTTCATCCTTTAAAACAAAAACAATTTTTTCATATATGATAATTTTTCGTGAAATTTTGATTTTAATTGCAATAATTTTTTTTGACGAATGTATAACTATAACCATACGTATATAGAGACATCTTACATACCGCTGCTAACATCGTAAACACATTATCATGAATAACCTCTTCCGTGAATATTTCTTCGTTAGAGTTGTTCAAAAGCATGTCGCAAATTGCCCTGTCTATATTTACAGAAAAGAATATAAAATAGTATATATATTTATAAAAGAATATATATGTATAAAAAATTAAAATACATCTTTATATATTCTATTTATATTTTTTTATTTTTTTACACATTTTATAAATATTTTAAATATTAAAAAGATTAATATTTAAAGAAAGTTTAAAAGAAAAGAATTCTTAGTAAATGATTGCTTAGTAATAGATTGCTTTTCAGCAGCACGTTTTTTAACTGTAGCTCTAGATAAAATTTATTTTATTGCCACATGACAAATATAAATAATAATATCGTAATAATCACAAAGAAATCCAAATATGTAAAGAAAGAAATATTAATAAACTTACGAGTTGTTTTATTTATATCAGTCTCCGATTTATTTAATGCGTATCGTCGCTGCTGTATCAACTGCATAACAATATCATGTAGTTATAAAATGATAAACTTTCATGTGTCATAGAAATCTATAATATATGTAAATTAAAATATTGACAAATATATTCACAAAATACCTCATTCACGAAGGAATATTTGATATTTAAACACTTTTGATATTCACGTCCTAAACTTGTGCGTTTAAATATAACATTAGGATACAATAATAAATTCGTATATCTGCGGCTTACAATTTTTCTGCACCTAAAATGTTCTTCTTTTAAATTTGGAATTTATAAGATAACAAAATATGTACTTAGCTAATTGCGATAATTAAGTTTTCCGAATATAATTCGAGAAAAAAGACCTTTTTCTTATAATCTAAAATATTTAATAAATATATTCTGTAATCTAAAATATTTATTTATAATACAGAATTTTGAAAATTTTTCGAGAATGACAACAATGGCGATTTTTTAAAGTTTTACATCTTTACCCACGCACTCACAAATTTATTGACCGATTATCTCAAAATCAGTACCAAAATTTTCTAAATTTTTAGAAGATGGCTACTATATAATTTTAAAAAATTTTTACAATTTCATCCATCCACGCACTTCCTCATTAAATGGACCGATTCTCTCGAAATTGATACCAAAATTTTGCAAATTTTTCGAGAAGACAACAATGGCAATTTTTTGAAGTTGTACACTCTCACACTTGCACTCACAAATTTATTGACCGATTTTCTCTAGATCGGTACAAAAATGTTCGAAATTTTTAGAGGATGGCTACTATAGTATATGATTTAAAAAATTTTTACAACCCTACCCACCCACTCACGTATCCACTCACGCATTTAAAAATTTATTGATTGATTTTTTCGCGAAATTTGTATTAAAAATTTACAAATTTTTTGAGAATGGCGATGATGGTGAATTTTTTAAGTTTTACACCACTCATCCACTCACCCACTCACGCACTCACACACTTATTGATCATTTTTTTCGAAATTAGTATCAAAACATTACTATCGTTGTCATTTCCGAAAAAATGTGTGTATGTATTTTTTAAAATATGTTATTTAAAATATGTATTTTTTTAAAAATGATAATTTATATTAAAGAATTATGCAAATTAATAATAAGATCAGTGTTGGGTAAAGGCTTTAAAGCCCACGCAATAATTATGATTAATATTTAAAATTTTTTGAAATTATTTAAATAATGTTTAACAGAGATAAAGGTTTTGAGATCCGCGGAAAGCGCGGGCCGAAAAGATAGTATTTAATAATATATAAGTTAATAATATTATAATATTTATATATTTTTTGCGCTCTTCGTCCCTGCTAAATGCCTCACAAATGCAAAAAATATAAATTTAATAAGATACAATTTTTATATAATTTTTGAAAATAATTATATATAATTTAATATATAATTTTTATAAATTGTATTTCAAAATTCGCCTAAAAGTTTTATTTCTTAGAAAAATATAAAAATGTAAGAAAAAATCTTTTTTTGAAATAAATTCATTTATACGTACATATGTCAATTGTTAGATTCTAAAATTATAATTAAAAGGAAACTATATTTTTACCTTGTTATTGCTTTACAATATTGATCGATTTTGTCTGACCGTAAATCCCACTTGACGCCAATTACAGTGTCTTCACAATCCCATGAAAAAAAATAAACTTGTTACTTCAAGTTTTAACTAATAACTGTTGTAATAATTATTGGTTTATATGCATTATGTATATCTATATACGTATGGTTTTTATGATATATATATATATATATATATATATATATATATATATATATAAATACACACACACACACACACACACGCACGCATGCACGCACGCACGCACGCACGCACGCACGCACGCACACACACACACACACACACACACACACACACACATATAGTTTATATTTGTATATATTTATTTATTTATATTGATAATATATCATATTTATGACTTTTTTCTAGTTATTAACATCTACAGTTGTAGTTAAAATGATCTAAATAATTAAAAGTAAAGTAACAATAAATTTAAAAAATTAAGTTGTGATATATAAATAACTAGTATAAAATTATATTAATAATTGTAGATGTCAATATTACAAACAAAACTATGTACAAACATCATATTACTATAAAATAAACTACTGAAAAATATTTTTTTAATTTACACTATATACATATGTGTATTCTGATGTACTATATAGCCTCAAAATTGGGAAAGTACTTAATGAAAAATAATTTTATTATAGTGTTTTGGAAAGCTCTTGACACCAGCTATTAGATTCTAGAATCATAAATAGGTGTTCCATTTTAAAACATCATGTTGACCTTGACTCCTCCATTCAAGGTCAAATGGATATGATCATTCAATAGAACTTTTAAAACTCTACAACTTTGGTTGGAAATATTTGTCTCCAAAACGTTTCGTTTTCGAGATATTTAACCGTTTCCAGACTTTTCTAACACCCGTTTTTCTAATCTTTAACATATGTATATTGTGTATCTTTCTTTTTGTTTTAAAATTTATTATTTCTTCAAAATCGTGTCTTTTATAACGTGCAGTAATCATTTAAAAAAAGGATAAAAATTATATTTTTTCTTACCACATGCAACGCTCACTGAGCATTGAAGTAGAGATTCATATAATTCCATCTCATTTCCATTTAATCCAATTTTTTCTAATTTGTCCATAAATATTAAAGAGTGTTCGACAAATTTATCAAAAAAGTTTCGTAACATATTTGAGTTGAAGCTTGACGATAATATTTTTCGATGCTTAGTCCATATGTATGCTAAAATAAATATTTCAAAAGAATTATATAAAGGAGAAATCGAAAAAATATAACATGTACTATATTTAAAAAAACATGTTAGTGTGTCTCTTTCTCCATCTTTTAAAACTTATAGCGCTGTTGACAGAATATAAATAAATAAAATCGTGAAAAAATTTCAAATGTAAAGATATATAATAATATATATATATATATATATATATATATATATATACACACACGCAATATATACTATATATATATATATATATATATATATGTATATTGATATATAGTGTATAAAAGAATGTTTTACAGTCGATAGTGTATTAAAGTTGAAGCTCCAAAATTCTTTTTTGATTTTTTCTCTATGGTATTATAATTTTTTGCTACGTTTGAACGATTTGAAAATGATTTTTAGGGTATGAAAAGTGTATACCCCCTTTTTTAATAGTGTGTGTACCATTTATTAATTTTATATATAAGTTGTTTATAACTATACCTGTATTTTATTATGTAAATTGTAAATTATATTATTACAACTAACTCGACTTAAGTTTGATTTTTTAAAATACATCTTACCAGGAATTGTTAGTAATGACGTTTTACCAAATACTTCTTCAATAAAACTATTTAGATCACCCTTATTCAAGCAACCGCGATGTCGTAAGATGACCTATACCGTCGCATACAAATTTATTAATATATGTATTGTTTATTTATTTAGATATTATTTTATCATATAGATTTCGAAAAATTATTTCAGTTAAATTAAGTATAATATATCACAATAATTGTAAAATTTAAATATATAAAAGAGATATTTTAAATATCAATAAACGTGTATAAAAGCTATTTCTCTACCTTTATTTTATCTGGCTCGTCTATTCCAATATATAATTTGGTGCTTATCCAAATTTGAAACGGGGACGAATAATCTTTCGCAAGCTTAAGTAGAATATCCATAATATCTATATAATATAATAAATATCTATATATTATATATTATTAATATCTATATAATATTTATATTGATATCTTAAGATATCAATTCTTTATTCGGGTTATTGGTTTACTTCCTCTAATTTCCATGACATGGCCCATACGGCACAGAAATATTGCTGCAATGTTGCTGCAATATTTATTTGCAAACTTGCAACATTGCAGCAATGTTGCAAAATGTTGCTGCAACATTGCAGCAATATTGCAGCAACGGTAAAATGTCCGCTTGTAGCAATATTACAATACAATACTGCAGCAATATTACAATACAATACTGCAGCAATATTACAATGCAATAGTGCAACAATATTGCAATATAATATATGTATATATATATGTATTATAATGCTTTGTATTGACGTAAGATCGCGTTGACTGAACTTGCTGCACTAGTTCAGAAGTTATCTTTTTCCTTCCAACAATGTCGAGCAAAAAGACAACTTCTGAACTAATGCAGCGAGTTCAGTCAACGCGAACAGACCTATAAGTAGTATTTTTACATTCTAATTAAATCTGAGATATATATATCTCATAGATTGTTAGAATGTGCGTGTTTGTAAATATATATTACATGCAGTATAAAAGAGAATATTTCAGAATTTAATATTTATGTATATATATGAGTTACATAAAATAAAATATACGCAACATTTAAATTTATTCTTATTATATATTGCAATAAAAAAACCAAATTATATAAAAATTTTATATACGAAATATGTTAATATATAACACGTTATATATTCATATATAATAATCTGCGTATATAATATACACGTATATGTACACGTGCACAACATATGATATATAATAATTATTTATAAACCTAATAAAAACTAAAAATTTACTTAAATTGCATTAAAGTATCTTAATCATGTAAGAACAAAAAATACATATTATTTTTACTATTTATAAAATTATAACAGTATATTTTTAATATTGCTGCAACATTATTACCACATTATTATAGCAATGTTCTATATTCATATTTCAGCAATGTTGCTGAAATATTGCATTGCAATATTTCAGATTGCAATATTGCTGCAATATTATATTGCAATATGCAAGATTGCAATATTGCTGCAATATTGCTGCAAGGTCCTGTGCCGTATGGGGGGATACATTGTTTTACATAAATAGAGTTTTATTTAAAAAATTGTAGTATTGAATGTGGCAAGAATTTATGAAGAACTTAACTTTTTATGATTTTTTCTTATTTAAGAAATATGTGTAATTGCTGTAATTTCGGTAAATGACTTATCAGACTATATTTTTAATTTTTCAAAAAATGTAAATTTTTGAATTCTACGATAGAGAAAATGTTTAATTTTTTAATTTAAGAAATTTCTTTTTATTTTTTACACAAAATCGATAGGTTCGCGCTTTGTTCCTGTATATACTTTAATCGTGGAAAAACATTTATCATTCTGTTCAACCAATAAAAAGAAAAGGGTGTACAAAAATAATGTTTTATTGATAAAAATAAAATAAAGTTAAAAAAGTAACTTGCTTTTCCAATTTCCATTAATTTTTATATTATTTTTCTAAATTAAACGCATCATTGTCTCTCGTTACCTTCAGGATATCTCCTTACGAAATATAAGGCACTTCCAATAAGCGGAAATACTTTTGGACCGGGCACGTTTTTTACCGTTTTTATAAAAATCGACCAGCGAAACTTGTAGTAAAAGTAAATTACGACAGTCCACGCAAAAATAATAAACACAACACTTTCGAATGCCATATTACATATAAACACTGAACAAGTTTCGATACGTTAACTCGCATTAATGTCACTCGTGTGGATACATTGGCGCTTTTATCTGAGTCTTTCCCACCCATTGGAAAATAATAAATGTCGTCATGATTTGTTGATCTCGATCATATATATTACTTACTATGTTATTAGATGTAAGACGCTAGAATCTAGGTATCTTTTACATTTGCGCAATGATTTTTTGCGCAGACAAATGCTTGACGCTTGATGTTGCCACGTGAAGACGTCTTAATAAATGTCAATATACATATACATATGTATATAGTACGTATATACATATACATGTATATACATATACATATGTATATTTATACATGTTTTGCATCATTTTACATTTACGTCCTTAATCTGATATATCCCAGTCAGAAATGTAATTTTTATTCAAAATTAATTCAACGTCGATATGATTGACAATTGGTTGAGTCGATATTTAGTCAGAAGTTTAACGTCAATTCAATGTTGATTCGATGCCTTTCAGCGGTTGATGCGATAATCGCCCGCTTGAGTCCAATAATTGAATAAGGTTTTTGATTTTTGTGCAATATCGACTTATAATTTTTGAATGTTTTATATAGTGTGAGATTATTTAAATTAATTATAATATAAATCTAAATATATCTAAATTAATTATATAAAGTTAGCCAAGTGGTTATTATACATATATTAATAATATAATTGCATGGTCTGTTTTTTGTAGTTGAACTAGTTGCACTAGAGATTTTTTCTTCTTCCAATTTTTTAAAGATTTTTTAAAGATGTGAGATACCATATTAAAAAAAAAATTTCATCTATTCAACTATTGACGAAAAAAACGATAGAAAATTATTAAAAATTAATAATTAAATAAAGCTCGATTAAGAAGTAAAGTTCTCGTTCGATCAACTAAAGTTAAGCAATGCTTAATGCTTAATCATGATCAATATTTAGATGGGTGATCGCTTGGGAACAATATTTTATTTTGTATAATAATATGTAATCACATATATTTATATATAGACAAATTTGATATATAATTTTGTATAATTAAATATAACTAATTTTGTTTATTTATATATAAAAAATTTTTAAATTGGTTGATTCAACGTTGAAATTATGTCGAAATGATAGTCGAAAATTCGTCAAAATTTTGGTTGTCGATTCGATCAAAATTTCAACTTTATTTCAACATTGGTTTTCGGCATTAATTCGACATCACAACTATACATTTCTGACTGGGTATGTAATCTAGATAATTAGTTCACATAATTCAAAAATATTAATATTGAAACCAACGCAGAAAACAAGATCTCACGTCACGTAAAAAAAAAAATTGTGCAACAGAATATAAAGTGTATATTTTTTGTTTTAATCTGATTTTTAATTCTGTAAACATAACACGTTTGAAAATTGCATTTATTAGAGCTAAAAATACGGAAAATTTTATCTTTTTTATTCTTTTATTCTTTTATTAACGCGTTTTTAAAGTATTAAGAATATTTTATGATAAAGATAGGAAATATATATTTCAGAATTTTATTTATATAAATCTAAATAAGAAAGGCCTAAAGAACCATATATGCGGATGTTGCTGCGTACATTTCTAACGAAAATTAATTTTCTGTTGGAAATAAATTTTATTTATATTTGAAATGCCATAATTATAAAAGGAATTGATAAAATTTTATGCAATATACTGTAACAACATGTAACATAATATTCTACGAATAATGACATACAACTTACGTACACTATATTCAATTACTATCTCACAGTTTTGCGTGAAAAAACTTTCCTATACTTAATAAACATTATAAATAAATATATATATATATATATATATATATATATGTATTGTATATATTGTATATATTGTTATTAAATTGACAAAATTAGCGCTACATTCATATTATGTAGACAGAGCCTACAAGTTTCAATTGCCCAAGTAGAACAGAAAAGTCAAAATAATGTCTATTTGACGTCATCTTGACCAAATTTGAACTCCAAATTTGATCAATATGACGTTAAAATGATATTATTTTGATTTTCTGTTCTACTTGGGTGGTCACACGTTTTTTTTCTATGCCATATCCAGTTATATATAGAGGTCAGTGCAGAAGATGTTTATATAACGCTGAAAGCGTCAAAGTGACAAAAAAAAGCGCATAAAAACGCGTAATTAATGCGTTTGAATTTAAAAGTAAAATTTATGTATAATTAAATAGAGAGCGGCGTGATGCATAAAAGATTTTTAGGATAATATTTTTTGCATAAAAAATTATTTGCTTTTTCTACATATAATTATATACAGCTCATCAATATACGTTTTACTTTTAAATTCAAACGCATTAATTATGCGTTTATGTTAGTTTTTATATACACATATATACCTACATAGCTTCGGTCAGGATAAAATTATTATTCTCGAATTAAAATTTGTTGGCTGAATAATTTTTCAATAACATACGATGATACGTATTCTATCTATACAATCTATAGATTTACAAAGCTTGACCAAATCAGATGTAATTAGAAAAAACATGTATAAGCCTTATTGTAACACACAGATTTTCGTGCATTTTTTTTTTACGTTAGCTGTAACGTTTGCCAATGTATAATATTTAGAATGTTCAAAAACATAGTACTATGTGTAATGTAATGTGTAATGTAGATGCAAAATTAAAAGTTGTCAAGAATGAAATCACTGTTGGAAATTATTTTTGCTGTTACGGAATGTTTCGCAATTACGTTCGAATACTTAAAATTTTTATAATGTAATTGACTTTTCAGTACCTACTCTAATAATCTTCTTTAAAATTTACTGTAAATTTGACATTTCATAATGTAAGAATTTAATTTACTTTTTTATTTATTTTCCTAATATAATATTGGGAATGTTAGTTTAGTCGATATCTGACATTGTACTTCAGTAATTGTTTATATTCAATTAAAGTAAGACTTTCGATAAATACATTTTTCTCGCCGAAAGAAAGTTTATTTAAATATTTTTGCGTTTTATTATGGTTTAAATGGTAAGTGCACTAATTCTCTTTCTCTTTTTTATTTTATAGAAATGTTTATTGTAGCATTCAAATAATGCAAAATACAATATAACTCACTATTACTTAACAGATCAATTTCGACATTATTAAACTTTTAAATATATAAGTATAGGTACATATAATAACTTTTATAAGATCTTTTATATGTGTATATAAATGCACACATATACGCACACGTATAATAAAAACACAGTAGCTTCAAATACAGCAAAAAAAAAGATTTTATAAATCTTGCAAAGATGTGAATCTTCTTGTCCTTTTGACGGCTTTATCTACACGTTCAAACATCTATATATCTTTTCAAACCGAAAAATGAAAAATATTGCAACAAATATACTCAACACAAAGTATCAGTAAAACAGCCGCAGGTGATTATTTTTGCACGCCTTTAGTGGTTGCGATACAACATCAGCTCTCTTTAATCAAGGGAAAATGAAATGTGTCAATGTATTCCTAAAAAATCCACTTTTAAAGGAGCTTGTTCAGGTATTCAAAAGCCAAAATGCTAACCCAGAGATTATTGCTGAAGTCGGAGAACGTTTTCTCCTCACATTGTACGGCTACAGTGGCGTGAAAAGTATGTCGTTGAACATATATAGACATCAATGCTTTACAAAATCAGCACATAAAAATTAATTTAATATTGTATCGTATTGAGGATGGCAAAAAAGCAAGGATGAGCTAATTCCTATCACCACACTCCAAGCCTTCTGCTCTGGAAACGCTGTTAAAACTTCGCTGTTATTTCTTGCAAACGTAAGAAAGGATGTTGAGGTTCTTAGTAAAGAATTATACATGAAAGACTCTCTGCAATTTATTTATTATTTAAGAGAAAATTTTCAGACTATTAATAAATATTTATAAATACACATAATTAAATACAATAAAATAAAACATAGTATTACGAAAATCGCAAAAATAATTTCGCAGTTGTGCAATAATGCAATTTTAAACACAAAATAGTGCAACACGTATTCAATTCTCTGCTTTTTTGCTTTTCTTCGTAGGTCAGACTAATCATGAAAATGTAAAAATACTATTATATCTTTATTATTAAAAAATTAATTTATCATACAAAAAAATTGTGTTATATGTATATGGATCATTATTCATTTATTTGTCTAAAGAACAGCATACATATAAAATATTGATGTATACAAATAACGCCGTTGCCTTTTTAAATGTGAATCAAAGGCTATTTTTCCTATTAAAACGTCAGAACAATTCATATTTGAATACACGTGTCTAAACGTCGCTTTCGCATCTGGCAACTTTTATGTTAATAGCAAAATGTGCACGTTGAAAAACTGCGGAACACTTTGGTGTGAATCTTCTGAAGTCATTAATTAGTCTCCATTATTACGGCGCGCAAGTGGCGAAACAGACACGTATGGCAATTATTCATTGTCAACATTTAACAAATAGAGATCGTCATTCGGCAATGCGGTATATAAATCTCGCATTGTTGCACTGCGAGGTGCAAAAGCTTTCGATACGCAAGTAATACAACATGAAGCTAACAGTGGTGTTGTGTCTAATCGTGGCTATCCTGGTCTGCGCCATGATCCAGGAATCCGTAAGTTTAACCTGAATATAGCTGATAATATCTTGTAGAGATCCTAGGATCTCTATTCATACAGCACCGAATTGCAGATACATCCCAGCAAACACCGATATATAATTGTTACATTGCTATAATAAAACGGAATATAACAGGTAATATAACGTGTACGTTACCTGTAACATCCATGTTAGTTGTAATTTTCCACTCATAGATGTAACATTTTAATATAACATATATTACATTGTAGTTATATTGTAATTATATACCAAATAGCACATTGATGTATTGATAAGTCAGTGCTATCTTGGGATATAATGACAATATAACTACAATGTAATATATGTAATATTAAAAATGTTACATCTATGAGTGGGAAATTACAACTAACATATACGTTACATGTAACATGCTTGAGTATATAACATTTATATATAGTGTTTGCTGGGATACTTTTTTAGTCTTGGAGTTAATTTCACCAACCTTTATGTAATTCTAATTAAAATTTAAATATGAGATACATAGAAAATTGCGCATAGTGGTAGATGTAGGAACAAGCAATTATTAAATAATATTTTTTATAATATTTCTGGAATGTTGCATTCTCATGAAATATTATATTTGTATGTTCCTGTAATGTCTCTACAATGTTACATTGCAATTTGCAAGATTGCAACATTGCTGCAATGTAATTGCAATGTTTTCTGCTGTATGGGTAACCTGAATCCAGCTAATAATCTCTTATTGTAAAGACCTTAGAGTCTCTAGTCTCTTGTACCAAAGAAAAAACGTTGTTCTGTCTGAAGGAATCGTGTCGGGGTCATAGACGCCGTACAACAACAACTACTGCTCCTACTACTACAACACAGACAACAACAACAACAACAACAACAGCAAGCATGGGTAGAAGGAAGCGTAATATTATGGATTTTTTGCTTTTGCCAGAATTTGAGGAACTATTTTGTAATTTCCTTTATAAATGTGGACCTCATAAACATGGCGGTCATGAATGCAACAATACAATAACAACTACTACTGCTGCTACTACTACAACTATTACAACACAAGCAACAACACAAGCAACAACACAGCCAACAAACTCAACCGCATAGAAAGAAGCGTGAAATTATGGCTGCTCCGCTTTCGTCAGCATTGACATAATATAAGCACGAATAAGAAACAAGAGTCAAGTCCCCAAACTGGTGAAGGGAAGCAATGCTAAAGTGTAGACATTTTATTGTAATATATACTATATGTTTATGGGTTTGCCGAATTAACGAGGCAAATTAATATATTCTGGAATTATAGTGTGTGAAAGAAATAGTCTCTGTAATGAAAATATATTAGAATATATATTATGCTTAACGCTTAACGTATTTATTATTGTTACACGTACATAATTCTAACTGTCATCAAAATATTAAGATAAGACTTAATATAAAGATGCATTTTATACATCTTTATTAAGTCTTATTGGATATATATGTATATCATTAATATTGCGATAAATTTCTAACGGAACATTTCTAATAACACTGTAAATTATGGTGTAAATATGTTAAAATAAGATATAAGAATATATGTTTTGAATAATATGTTATAATACACTTTATACTGGATTAATATTTTTGACAGTTTTTTATCAGCTGATTTCTGTCAAAGTATATTAATCGAGAATAAGGTATTTTATAATATACTAATTTGCAACATATTACTAAATCAATATTTTTAATTATATTATCATTTCAATCGAGTTGAATCGAGTTAAAAGTATTAAAACACATATATATTATATTTACAACATTTTTATTTCAATATTTATATGTATATATTATTCTAGATATCATTGTAAATTATTTGCAAATATTATTTTAGATCTCGTCAATCTCGACAACATTACCCCTATATATATATATATATATGCTTTAAAACACGCCCTTTTCAAAATAAGAATTAAACGGCGATATTTTCGAAACGGTGAGTTCTATACGTATTTTTTACGTGTCGCCGATAAAGTTTCAAGTCAGTTTAACTTATTTTATGTTGGGGCAGTACATGTTATATTCCTTTAGCATAAAAACGTAACATTTCTTTTATATTCTTTTATATTCTTTTATATTATATATATTATATTATTAATATTTTTTTTATATTCTTGCCAAAATGTTGGATAATAACAATAATATTCGACTCAGTTTCTTAAAAAAAAATACAAATATTATAAAATTCGAAATTTATTCTAAACATAAAAAGAAACAAAAACACAAATGCTATATACAATACAATCCAAACACGACTGGAAAATCCGGCATATTGAGATATGCATATGTGATCGTGCTAACGGCAGACGAACTATAGGATGTTGTTCTCATTTAACAGCAATAATACATTAGCTTTCACATACTCGTTATCTGTTAAAACATATTTTTGATAGTGAAGACATCGTACCAACAATTAATGATGAAAGCGATAAAGATTGAGCAATAAAAATTTAAAAATAAAAATATTCAGATATATTAAATAATTGTATTATTTATTTATGTGTTTTTTTATATTTGTATATTTATTTATTTTTATATTTTATATTATATTTATTCTTGGTTATAAGTTTAATTCTGTAAAAATGTAACTATATATCTTATTTTACTTTTTTGCATTAAATAATTTTTTAAGTATAATATAAATATTTATGTGTGATTGAAATATGTTTATAATAAATATGAGATAAAAAGTTTACAAAATAAACATTAAAATACATGCAAATTATTAAAAATAAATATTTATAACTGAATTTAATGTATAAGTTTAGACATATATATATTTTATGTGAAAAATAGCGTAAAAATGTGGTTTTTAATTTTTTCAAATATGTTTCACCAATCAGAAAATTCTGAATAAATTTTATAAATTATTATGTTTTGAAAGGAATATTCAAGAATTTTTTTAAGGCGTCACCTCTATAAGAACCTTGTAAAAATTGCATTTTTTATTTGTAGTAATTTTTTAAAAATTAAAATGAGACAGTGAAACAATTAAATAAATTTTTTGTGTAAAAAAGAAGCATTTTTTTATTAACATAATTTTTATATCAAGAATTTATAAACATAGATATTGAAAAAAATTAAATAAAGAAAAAGTTTTTTGCTATGTAGGAGAGAAAGAGAATAGGGGATTATGAACTGCACTAAAAAACTTTTTTTTGGTATACAAACATTGCGCAAATACTTTTAAGTTATTTCCCGTGAGAGCACTTATTTTCCTCTTATATCTGACTCTCTCTATAATCTTTAATATTACAATTTTATAAATTTTTTATTATAAATTTTCATTAAATTTGCATTCCATTTCCGGGGTACCATCAATTTTTATTAAATATAAAACATTTAAAGTCAAAAAATTATGTTTATTTATAGCAAAATTTCATATTATTAACAGATTTAATTTATTTTTTATTTGTTGTAAATGTTTGCGCATAAAATTGTAAATTATAATATAATTTTGTATATATAGTAATTAAAAAAACATACATATAAATTAAAGTTCATTATTTATCATTTTACATTTGCTAAATGTAAGTTATGCAAACTTGCAAAATATATGATAAACCTTTTTCTTTCTTAAACAAGCAAATTTATTATAATCTAAACATCATATCAAAAAGAATTAACTTGTACCAAATGCATATAACATTCATAGTTCAAAACAATTATAATTTCTAAACTATAAGCAGAAATGTTTCTCTTGCTTGATATAGTATTTTAAATCTAATAATTTAAAAATATTTCCGAAAATTTATGTGTTCTCTTGTTCTTCTGGTGTTATTTGACAAATTTGAAAAATTTTATATCAATTTAAAAATTATAAAATATTGTTTATAGTAATGCTATTTGACGTAATTATTCTACATGTATTTATATTGTTTGTAGTCTAATCAAAATTCATTTTTTATTATTTTTAAATTATAATTGTAGAAAAAACAAATTTTTTGAAAACAATGACAAAATTATATTCAATATAAATAATTTCTATGTAATTTACTTTTTGTTACAGGAATCTGTACTAATTAATTGACACCGATTTAATTTAATCGATTACGTAATTTCAATGTCGCTGGAGACGTCGAATAACTGTCAAAGATATTCAGAATAATTGAGAGTTTTCGTAGAACTTTTGATACGTCTCTTTATTCGGAGCTGAATAAAAGGATCATTACAAAGTCGTGAATGCCTCGAAGAAATATTGTATCACGGTTACTTATTTTCTTATCGATAATACAGAAAATTATTTATTATGTAACTTAGAAAAATAACACATAATCATAATCAAATACGCATTAATATTGTACAATTACAACCGTATAGAAATTTTAATCATTACAAAATATAAAAAACTTTTACCTTATGATATATCAAACATATATTGCACAAATTACGTATATTTAACACGTCATATTTCATGTATAATAAAATGTAATGTAAATGCAATATTATTACATATTCAATATAATATTTGCAATGAAAGGTGCCGCATGGGAGACTTCGATGATAGAAGGTGCGTGGTTAATTTCGGTAATACGAGAGCATCGACATTAAGAGAGAAGTCAGGACCTATACAGCACACAAGTTTGCGGCAATATTGCAACAACATTGCAATATTGTACATTGCATAGCAGTGTTGCAGAAATATATAGGCATGAATTTGCAATATAGTTTAAACAACGTTGCAGCAACATTTCAGAAATATTATGAAAATAAAATTCACGCAAAAAATATTAGGTACAGAATCCAGATCTTCTCTTCTTTCTCCTTTTTCCCCCTTTCTTTCTCCATCTTTTTTTCTTTTTCCCTTCCGTTACGTTGCGTTGCGTTACGTTGCGCAATGTCTAAAAAAATTATTAGTTTTAATAATTAATATTGTATATAATTATTCGTGTAATAGAAAAGAAAAAATAAAAACTTACCATCTTCAACAATTTTTCAAACGTTACAACTGGAACTGTCACAATATATTTTGCATCTGCATATTAACATATTATAATATGCAACATATTATAATATAATAATTTTCTTAATTAATTTGTTAATATATATGTACAAAATTAAAACTTGTCGAGAAGGAAGTTATTGTTCGAAAATATTTTTGCTATTACGGGATTTTTTGCAATTATAAATATGTTCGAATACATAAAATTTAGATAATATGATTGACTTTTTAGTACTCTAATAATCTTCTGTAAAAATTACTGTCAATTAGACATTTTATGCATAATGTAAAAATTTAATTTCTAAAGGAACTAAAAGTTATATCATATAATAAAATTTTAAAGTAGTGTCGTAAGATCAATATTATATATAATTTTGTAAATATTTCTAATTATAATATGTATATATATTTTTTATAGAGATAAATTATTTGTGATTTTGACCACAATTTTATACTTCAATAACGTCAATCTAAGGAAATGATTGTTTGGTATATACTATATTATATTCCGTTTTAATTTAGTTAAATGAAAATGTTTCTTCGATTTCTTGAAATGTGTGACGTTTAATTAGTTTGATTATATGACAATCAAAGATTTCACGTCAATATGTAAACTACTAACGTCATTTGTACGAAATTATTAATGTATAAACAATTGAAACACACATGATGAAAACATAATATACTTTCTTTGGATTGATTTTCTTAGTACACAGATTATATATGTTATGAGAGAATTAGAGAGCTCGTTTCATTAAGTTAATTTCGATGAAATGATTAGATGACATATGCAATTAATTATTGCATTAAACTGTTCATCTATAGCGTGACATTTATATAATATTTACGATTGACATAGTTTATCTTAAATAGGAAATCGAAATTAAAGAGAACGCTGTATATATATATATATATATATATATATATAAATTATGTATAAAATAAAGAATAAATGATATTTTAATTATGCGTTGCAATTTGCCAAACACAAACAATTATTTCACTTTTTCCATTTGTACCATATAAGAATGGAAATCTCTATACCTTCACTTTTCATAATATTATTTTGTTAAATTTAGAAAATTTGAATAAGTCTTGGCGAAATTTAATTTATTTTTTTTATTCATATATCTCAGCTGATTAAATGATTATGAAATCCGAATAATTATACCGTATATTTACGAAATTTTTTTTTATTATATATATATATATAGTTATGAAACAGAGATCTATTTACTACATAACATATTTGCCATTAAATAAATTATAGCTTTTAAAAATTAGGGCATTATATTGAATAGAAATTATGCGAAAGTGTAAATAAGCAAAAGAAGGTATACATTTCTTTAAAATAGAGGAAAATTTGTTGTTTAACAATTTGTCCTTCTA